ATCATGACCTGAGCTGAAATCAAGAGTCAGATGCCTAACCGACTTAGCTACCGGGTGCCCCTACGGGTATATTCTTTAGCACTCTTACCAGGCATCATTGTCAATATCCAGGAGGGAGTTTTAATGTAGTATTTATACACATTTTCTAAGCTTCAAATCATTTTGAGGGCATCATCTAGTCAGAGTACTGTTTGGAGGAACGTTGCTTGGAAAATAATTTTCCAGAAGAATAAAGGGAATACGTAGCATTTAGCTAGCCCCGCATGAAAATAAAAGAAGTTTCTTAAGACACTGAACAGTGGAGTTTAATTTTGCATTTCCACGGGGCAGATGTTCTCTGTTGCTGATGAAAGGTAGGTCAAGATGCTTTGTCAACCAGTATCTGACTGTGGGCTGACATGCCTCAGTAAAAACTAACACAGTCTACAATATGTGCCTGAGTCATACATGATGGTTCAACTTCGCTCTGATGTAGTACCTTCAGTCAGGGTAAGATTTTCCTTATTTGGATATAGGACATACAGTTTGGTGCTGTAGCGGAGAGTAACAATAGTTTTAATTTGCGTCCTTCAAAGTAACGACACGACACCGGTTGCCTAGTGTATCCAATAAAAAATAAAATCCAATAAGGTATTGTCAAATGATTCATTTTTAGCAGTGTAACTTTCTTGTGAGCCTTCTAAGGTTGATTAAAAATATATCTTGAGGAAACTGAGTTTACCTATTACATAGAATCGTTAGAAAGAAGCCAAATATTGGAAGACCTTCGCTAAAAATGATTAGAGTTTTAGAGAAGTTGCCTTTAATTTTTCTGATAGAAGAAAGATAATTTGTTTTTTTTCCCCCTATTGAAGTTCTGGCAATACAATTCTAAGAGTGCAGAGGCTGCATTTGAGATAAAAGAACAGTAGTAAGTCAACTTCCTTTCAAAAGCACAAGTATTTGCATTCCCTTGAATAGGTTATGACAAAATCATTTCTAATAATAGATGATTTTCTGTTCTTAGTTTGCTGCATTTAAGTGAGTACTTGGAGATAACAAAACCCGATGTGTTAGGTTGCTGGCTGTATAATTTACTAATTACATAATGAAGTCTTACTTGTTTATCAGTTATAATTAAATTTACCATGCATAATCTGTGCTAAAATGAAGAACACTATAAAATGATAATACTGGACTAAATCACCTCCTTAGGTTGGTCATCTAAAATTCTAGAATTTCTATGCCAACACGTCAGCCTTCAGGCTTGGATTTTGAGTTCCTCTTCACTCAAGGGTTTCATAATTGCCCCCTTGGCTGCTTTGGTTCTTTTAACTAGGAAAAACTTAAATTTGTTATTTATAAATAAAATTTGAAATGACGTTACAAGTTCAGTAGCTGTCCTAAAACTAATTATAAAAACATAAAAAAGCACTGATAAGATTTCTAGGTTCTTCACTGCTCAATATTCTGTACAACTCTAGCAATCTTTGTTTATTAGCACATTAATTCTGGCATTTTTACTTAGAATAAGTTTTGTGGGGAGCACTTGCATGGCTCAGTTCATTAAGTGACTGACTCTTGGTTTCGGCTCAGGTCATGATCTCACTGTCTGTGAGATCAAGCCCCACACTGGGCTCTGCACCGTCAGAGATCCGCTCCCCCCACCCCCCACTTGCACATGTGCGTGCTTTCTCTCTCTCAACCCCCCTCTCAAAATAAATATTTTTTTAAAAAAAGTATAAGTTTTGCAGTAAGTTAACTCGTTACAAAATAAGTATGAAAGAAAGATTCACTGTTGCTTGCAAAAAAAAAAATGTAGCCTTGGTGTGGCATTCCCAGATGCTGAAAAATAATGATTTTGAGAAGGGAATGAACATTCATGTGGTTTCATCTCTAGTTTGTTTATGTTGGGACTGTATGTCCCTACCATGACTGAGAGATAATTTCAAGGTTAACTAACTTTCTTTGAGGTTTGAAATAAAAATGAAGAAAGAGACGCCTAGGAAAACCCAGATATATTTGATCTTTTTTAAAAGTTAATATTTTTTTAAGTTTTAAATTTTATT